GGTTTGGTCATTACTTATTCCCTGAGCCTAACAGATGAACCTCTAGAGATGAAAACAATACAAACACTTAATTGATTGCTCAGATTTATTACATTCTACTTAATCTTTGAGTTACTGTGTAGCTCTATGAGGAGCTGCTTTACCCAATTAAAAAGAAACTGGTAATTTGTATTTAATTAATGAGAGGTTAAATCTAATGAAAAGTTGTTTTGAAATTTTACATAGAGCATCCTTTGTGTGAACAGAGCCAGAGGGAATATGGTCACCACATGGTAACATTACTAGGCAGATAATGAGGATGGGTTAGTGGTTAGCTAAAGGCAGAGACCACACTGAAAGAAAGGTGGAGGAAAAATAGGATTAAGGCATAATATTCTATTGTTCCTTCCTATGTTTTCCTTGCTGCACTTTTCACCTCTCCATTCTACAGTCAGACAAATGTTGAGGAAGAACTGACATCATCTCTCATTCCATTATTTCTCTATTTACATACACAGATACAACCCTGAGAGCTAAAGTCACAAGCGACACCACTGAACTAGCAATGCCTGGGCTGTATGTGCAAAGGAGTGTTATCTGTTCATTGTGCTGTGCCTTAGGCACCAGAATGCCTGCTGGGAGGGACTGTTCTCATGAAGTGACAGAGACCAAAGGCTCTTGCAAACCTCACTGGATCTATGGGGACCCAAGACACCCATGCATGTTTACCTGGCGAGCCTGCCAGAGAGTCCCCTCTGCTGAAGGCGAAGGTACGAGACACAGACACGGGCACTAAAGAGTCAAAGGCCAAGGGTTTGTGAGTTGTGAAGGGGAAGATAAACACAAAAGGAGAGAGACAAAGAGTGGTGAGACAGTCTGTTCCTGGATCTTCAAAGCATCACATTTCTCTGCAAAAGGAAATTGTGCCTCTGAAAACATGGAAATTGCACCCTCTTACAAAGTCACTCTCCAGAAAGAGGGAAAGGAAATACCTTCCTGAAGGTCTTCCAAAAAGGTGTGTAATACTTTTGGAGGGAAGCAGACCTGCCAAGGACAAGAACAGCAGTGCCCCAGTGGGGCGCGCGCGTCCGCAGCAGCATTCTCTCTGAGCCAGCACATCTCCGGGAGCCCAGCACTGCATTCCCACCAGGCTCTCTCAGCTGCCACATGTATCTGCTCACCAACCAGAGGGCTGAGAGCAGAATGCATGCTCCTGCTAGGGGCAGCCTTGAGGAAGCTGTATCCTCCCTGGGACTCCTAGGAGCTCCCTCCGCGGAGAAACTGTGTGCAGCTAGAGCAGCGGTTCTCAGCCTGTGGGCCGCAACCCCTTTGGGGGTCGAACGACCCTTTCACAGGGGTCGCCTAAGACCATCAGAAAACACATATATAATTACATATTGTTTTTGTGATTAATCACTATGCTTTAATTATGTTCAATTTGTAACAATGAAAATACATCCTGCATATCAGATATTTACATGACGACTCATAACAGTAGCAAAATTACAGTTATGAAGTAGCAACGAAAATAATTTTATGGTTGGGGGGTCACCACAACATGCGGAACTGTATTAAAGGGGCGCGGCATTAGGAAGGTTGAGAACCACTGTGCTAGAGGCTTGGGAAACAAGAGTGGCAGGCAGCATTTCCAACAATCTTAATGGGAATCAACTTGGTGAATTAACTCATCGTCACTTCTGAGCACTTAAAGTGCTCCAGAGCACCTCTCTCACTGTCCCCTTTTCCTTCTCTCTTTCCCCACCGGGTCTGAAATGGCGCTGGCCATCACTTGGGGCCTGGGTATGGTATGGTGTGTAGCAGTACTCTAGTCCTTCCCCACGCTTGACCCTGATCAAGCAGGGTTTCTGCATGGGAATCTGTCTTCACCTCTCTGATATGGTCATTCCCAGTCCCTTCCAAGGAGCTAAATGAAGCCAGGCTGCAGGCAGCTTTTGCAGCATCAGATGATTTTACTGAAAGGACCCACAGGTGCAGGGGAGTGTATGTGTCTGGAGCCCTATACATGATAATCATTTACTCTGATACAATATATAAAATACTTGAACAGGCCCTTAATGTCGTGAGATACACTGGAATAAGAAACCCCATAGTCTCAAGAAGAATCTTACACTTCTGGGCTGCAAATTGAATGCATCCCCTGGCCAAGCAATCAAAGACTCGTTCTCTCCACCTGCACAGCCCCACGGGCTGCTTTTCTGGCTACCCTGAGCTCAGGCCCAGTTCCTCCAATGTGCCAGGCTCAACATGGTCCTCCTGGGCTCCCTGGCAGTCAGCACCAAGATGAAGAGACAGTGCAGGCTCTGTTCTCTATACTCTGCACAGGAAAGCCAGAGTGACTTACTTGTAACCTCAAGTTCAACTCTGAGGCCTTGGTCATGGGCAGTGTTCTGGCAAACTCATCATCTCATTAATCACCTTCAAAGGCTGATAGAATTACAGGCTGGCTTTTAGGACAGGGGCAATTTGCTAACGTGAGATCCTAAAAGAGTTTACTGCCTAGTGGCTCAGCCTTAAACTCTCCCTTGACCTACAAGCCAAGGTTCTTGGCCAGTGAAAGATGCCAGGTGGTTGGACCCGGGGCTGAAAGTCCAGCAGGGACAACTGTAGGGTGTGGCCCAAGCATGTCAAACTCACAGCATGTGGCCCACGATGAATATTTTTGAGGCCCAGTCAATATAACAGTGTGTAAGAAGCGTTTTAATAAAAGTTTCGTAACTTAATTTTTACAATATCCTGTTACATATAATTATTAATAATGAACTACAATGTTCGCTAATGACTGATTACTATAATCGTGTTGCATTCATTTCCCTTACGTGCCTTACACACAGGCACACCACTTCTCTCCACTAATACTAGCAGCGAATATTTTAGCAGCCGATGGCCACGTCATTAGTCGTGGACTGACTTGTTTGGTGTGCGCAACAGGAAACACTTCGCTTTCAGAGAACAAGAAAAATAGGTCTATTTGTGTTACGCTTATTAATTGGTGCAGTTATTCAGTGTCTGGTAAGTTAATGTTCAAGAAAAAATATTAATTTTTATTAAAATGTCCTATATTTTATGTTAATGATCATTCATTTCAGCCCTTTGTATTTAGCATCTCTATAGAAATAAACCTACATTTTTATGGAAATGGAAGCTTTTTTTTTTTGTGGCCCACGTAAACTTAAACCTTGTTTATTTGGCCTATGTTAGCCTTTGAGTTTGACATGCTTGGTGTGGCTAGTCTTTGGAGTTATTTCACACTTCACTTCACTAAGTGGAGAGGGTTTGTGGGGGGGAGGATGGAAAATGTCTCTATACCCCGTACAGACGAACTCGATTTTTTTCCTCCTGAAGATTTCTAAAGATGCTCAAAAGTGGGGAGAGGAAAAGAGTGTAATGCTTCCTTTTAGTTAACCAGTTCTGAAGGAGAAACCTGTGTTGCAAGTGTATTCCCATCTCATTGATAAAATGGAAGGATTCTGATACAAAAAACTAGAGATGGAAATGAAGGAAAGGAGAAAACCGGATGACATCTTCCTACTACTTTAAACTATATATACTTTAAAAATGTCGTCTAAATTAGGTGGGCTGGGGAGTTGTAATTATCCCCCAGAGTTCCCACCTCTTTTGGTCTTCTGGAATAGCCAGAACAGGGCCAACAAGTCTAGGTAAGATTTAGAATCCCGGAAGTTGCTCTACATTGAGCAATGTGATGGGTGGACATCTCCTTTAGAGAACCAAGTCCAGTCCTGGAGCACATCCCTCACCCCCACAGAGCTCTCATTCTGAGTACTGAGGTTTCCTCCATCCACCTTACTTGAGATTTGTTGGCTTATATAAGTATACTAATGAACCAGGGTTTTTATTTTACCGATCTCCTTCAACTCATGTTGGGCCACCCCTTGGGTGTGGGTAGCTACTCTAATTTCATTTCAGCCCTATGCTGGGCTAGGATGTGAAATTATACCATAAATTGTTCCAATATTCCCACATAGAGATTGCATTCTGGAACATCACGGCTCGCCAATCTGTATTTCATTGTGTTGTGTGCAATAGTCAGGACACCGGAATGCATCTATGTAAGTCACCAACTTGCTGGGTGATTTGGAGCAAGTCACTTCTTTAGTTTCTCCATGTTAAAACGGTGCCTATCTTTCATGTGCCAGGGATTGATATCCAGCGTTGGGACCCTCTGAGAAATCCAATATAAAACACTACGTAAAATGCTTTTTACGATAAGAGAAAACACTCCACTTGGCATTAAAATAGCCACTTTAAACAATAACAGCTGAAAGCAATGCAAAAGTCAGACCAGTGAGTAAAAATAAGTTCTAGAGAAATCATTCTTTCAGCATCACACTTACATCACAATAAATGCCATGCCTTCTAAACACAAGCACAACAATTCTATTTAGGAAACAGCAGGTAGGTAAAGCATAGAAGGGGCAGAGCAAACCAGCCAGCAGCCCCGTGCCAGCCCCCACCACCATCAGCATGCACGGCCAGCTGGCAGGCACTGCTCCTCCAGCTGAGATGCGGCGAAGGAGGGAAGAGAAGCAGATAAGCAACAGATCGCACCAGCCTGGGACTTCTATCCCAAGATCTTGCAGTCACTTCCTACTAACCCCACAGACACAAGAACGGCATATTACGTTTTCAAGTAAAGGCCAGTGGGTGAGTTATCGCCGCAGAGAAGGGAAGGCCGAACCTCCACCAGAACACACACGTGTGTGACAGTAAATGGCGCCTCCCCTCACAACCTCCCTCCCTGCCGTTCATCACTGAACATGAGCAGAGCAGCAGCAGCAAACATTCCAGACGCAGAAACGAAGCCCCTGTGGTCTGTGAGTACCTGGCAAGAAGCAGTGTTCCTGGCAGAGCATCACAGAGAGGCTGCCAGCACTGGTGTGAGCCCCAGCCCCAGCCCAGGCTCAGAGTGCGGGGTCCGGGTCCCCAGCGGGGGCTGAGGCAGGGCTACGACGGGGAGCATGAGGGAGGGGTTCGAGAAATACATACGGAAGGCAGAGGATCCAGCCAGGCTTCCCGCCTTCCGCACATCATTATCTGAGGACAGAAAGATGCAACGTGTTTCAGAGGCAATTCAGAAAGTACACCTTCTTATCGAGGTTCTCCCTCTCCCACCCGACCCCCAGCATCAATGAACTCGGAAAAAACAACAACACAACACACCAGACAATCAAATGGAAGTGTAAAAAGAAAAATAAACTTGTCTTTTCACCCTAAAATACCCCACTATCCATCCTTAACATTTGATAACATTACTGTCTGCCATGTACTTCCACAAACAAACTCTCTGAATGAAAAATGAGTCTTATTCCCACTTCATGCAGGAGGACACTAAAGCCAGGAAGTTGCCGGGCTTGCCCAGGGTTCCTAACAGGAGCAAAGACTTGAACCCAGCTGCTTTTTTCTACAATATCCCACTGCTTCCCCAATACGCTACGGCTTGGGAACTGGAATACCTGAGCAAGAAGTGGTCATGATGGCTGGGACACCATAGTAGGTGAAGGCTCCATTCTCGAAACGAAGGCCTTCCTTACCAACCTCCACCTCCACTTTCCCCTGGAGAAAGAAGGCAGTGTGCTAAGGGTGTGTGCACATACTTCCAGTTCGATTATTGACCACAACCCTAAGCTTCTGTCTGGATAACAAGCGGACTTAAGAGCTGATCACAGGGAAATGTGAATTCTGTCCAGATTTACGTGTCAGAAGTAGCACTGCCAGCTTCAGTAGCCCTTTGCAGTGAATTAATTGTCTAATTTATAAAGCTGCATCCAGTCACAAATAACCCCGAGCTCTCCTTGCATACTGCAACGGCCCTCCCATGATGCAGGCCCAGGCATCAGTTGGCCCAGGGCCCTATAAACAGACTCACTAGCTTGTTCTGAGATGAGACCATCTCTAAATCTAGTTGAAATAAAATCTTATTCTGATTCTGTGTGAAGCTTGTTTAACCCATCACCACTAATGACGACAGCTTATGTGTAGCATACAGTGTGTGTCTATGGGGCTGACATTGTGTTATGTACTCAGCATGGTTTCTCATTCAATCGGTCCCACAACCCTCTGAGGCCCCTCCTGCCTTCACCTCCAGTTTATAGATGAGTAAATTTTGAGGCTCAGAAAGGTTAAATCACTTAGGTCAAGGCTAGTTAGGAAACGGCAATATTGGAATTTAAAGCCAGATCTTCCCAATATCTGAATTTACACTCTTGCCACTATATTTTACTTCCTCCAGCTTTGATTTAAAAACAGTTAAGTTTATAGGAAGCATAAAACAGTAAATTGTATGGGTCATTATGTTATTTTTAAAAAAGTGACAGAACCCTTCCTGATTTCCAGCAGTGAAGAATGTGACCCCATTCTGGAGAAGGTCATTTTGTTGAGGTTGTCTGGAAGAATGGGCATGCGGCACACTGCCATGTCAGAGCAGACGGAGTGCAGGTGGACAGACAAAATAGAGCCCACTTGTAAGTTACTGTAAGTTTAATTAAGATTTTAGGCCAGTCACTGTATTTAGGATTCAGAAGATACTGTTGGAAGAGATGGAGCAGTGACAGAGCTAATGGTGGAGCCAGGCCAGGGCGCCTGCAGGATCCAGGCCGGAACCACGCCTGGCACGCATTTACAGGCCTGTCCGGGCACAAGGGCAGAGGTGAGGACCGGGAAGATGCTGCCCCACTCTCACTCGGTCATTAGTTTCCTTCCGTGTCCTCTTAAGGAGGAGGCATCAAGGGACTGCAGAGACTGAGAAGCTTCCAAGAGAGTGGACGTGTTCTGTGCACCTCCAGGTGGAAGTCAGAGATGATGAGATTTCAGATCGACAGAGGGAAAAGCTTTAAATAAGAAGTGCCTGAGGTTTGAGAGAAGGCACAGGACAGGTCCACTTCTGGGCATGTCCAAGCAGAGACAGGAAGGGGTCAGGGATTCTGTGGGACAGCAGTTTTGAAAGTTCAGTCACAGGACCCCTCTGCTGGAGAGGTACGTGCCGCACCCCACCACGAACATCCTTGAGTGGTCGGACTAAACGCCATCAAGATCCCCCCTCCCAGTCCTAGGACACCAACCTGTCAAACTTGGCCCCTTCTGTGGGTCACTGACAAACACCCACACCACCTGGCCTTGCTCCCAGGACAGCCTGCTGAGTCTTGGAACCCGGCAGTGGGGAGGCATGGCCATTCCTCTCCAGCCTAGGGAGGCCCTTGTCGTGTCCTCAGAGGGACTCGAATGTTCCCACGCACCTGGAGCAGCAGCACAAAGTAGTCCACGGGGCGGCTGCGCTGGTAGAGGTAGTGTTCCGGGGCTTTCTTGTTCTTGTCATCAAACTTCAGCTCCTGGATCACGTGGGGATGTTTCAGGAGCCGGAGTAGGATCTTCTCCGAAAGGTACAGAGACTTAAAGGGCTCCACTTCTAGGGGAGAGTGGGAGGCAGGAAGAATCGGCAGCTGGGAGGAGTCAGCGTGGGCACAACCAGGCCACGTGTCTAGAGCCACCTCCATTCGTGAGGTGAGTGTGTGTGTGTGTGTTTAAACCCATGTGTGTCTCAGGCCTTCCCCTGCTCCCTGGGGATGTGTGTCCCTGTATTGGTACCTCAGGCGAAACAGGTCACCATTTTGGAAACGTCAGTTTTGTTATTAATTTTCTACTTGACTTTATTTAAAGTTGCATGTGAATTTTAAAAAGAAGGCACTTTTGCCCCACTAGCATGGCTCAGTGGTTGAGTGTTGACCCATGCATCAGCAGGTCGCTGGTTTGATTCCTGGTTAGGGCACATGCCAGGTTTGTGGGCTCGGTCCCTGGTGGGGGACATACAGGGGGCAGTCAGTCAATGTTTTTCTGTCATTGATGTTTTTGTCTCTCTCTCCCTCTCCTTTCCTCTCTCTCTAAAAAATCAATACAAATAAAAAAAAAAGAAGGCAATTTTGCTATTTGTGACAACACGGGTGAACCTGGAGGATACTATGCTAAGTGAGATAAGCCAGACACAGAAGGACAAACATTGCATGATATCACTTATATGATGAATTTAAAATAGTCAAACTCATAGAAGCAGAGGATAAAAAGGTGAGTGCCTGGGGTGGTGGGAGGGTGATGGAAGGGTGAGATTAGTCAAAGTTTCAGTTATGCCAGATGAATAAACCTTAGAGATCTACCACACAGCACAGGGCCCACAGTTAACAATGCTGTATTGTATACTTAAAAGTTTACTCAGAGGTTAGATCTTATATTAACAGAGAAAAATAACAATAGAGTGGGAGGAAAACTTTTGGAGGAGATGGACATATTTATGGCATAGATTGTGGTGATAGTGTCACTTATTTCCAAACACATCAAATTGTATACATTAAATATGTACCGTTTTTGTGTGTGTCAATCATACCTCAATAAAGTGGTTAAAAGAAAACAGAGTTGGGCATGGCTAAGTAAGCATGTAAACAGCAAAACTTTCACTGTAATGATCAAGTGAAACACAGAGAATTTAATCTGACTTATTTGTGACATATCTGTTGAAAGAAATGAAATTCCAAGTTAATAGAAATGGTAATTATTTAGGTGGTATGTTCTCAATAATGCATAGCATCCTTGCATCAAATTTATATGTTAACAGATATTATATTATATTATATCATACTATAACATTAAAAGATACAGCTGCTTTTCTCTAGGAAATCAGTCAGTAGTTAAAAGAAATCTGTATTCAGAACTAGATAACATGTTGAAAACTCTAAAGAATTGCAACATAAAGTTTTCTACTTTTTTTTTAAACACCTGGAATAGTACTAGTACTCATCATATAGTCAATAATCATATGCTGGATCAATTAAATATTGCACTTTGTAATGGGTGTGTATTTGAGGTCTGCACATTAATTAGGCCTGTGTGAGAAGGTCAGAAGGTTCAAAGACAAACTTTACCTTCTTCTCAAGTTTATCTTTGGATCCTCTTACTTTTTTTTCTTTCTAAAGATCCCAAGATTCACAATCCACTTCCATATTTTAAGAACTCGTATCTCTATATGGTCTCTGGAGGGTACTGGACCCCAGGGCCTTGTTGCTGGATAGGACAATGCCTTTCCCTCCCCCACAGATCGTTTGGGGTACCCCAAATCCAACAGGATGCAGGTCGGCCTCTGTCCCCCACCAAGAAGCGAGTGGAGGAAGGGAAACGTGTAGCAGTGGTTTCTTTAGCTTTATTTCTTGAGTAGAAGATCAACAAGCAGAGTTGGGTTGTATTCATTCCCTCCCTAGAAGATCAGGCAGGGACTGGCACCGACAGTATGCGGCATCCTGTCACCCTTGCCTGAGGCAATCTCCTCTCCTGGAACAGTGGTTTTCAGTCTTACACTGGAATTAGGTCACGAAGTATTAAAAATGATTGGTGCATGGGTCCCACCCTCCAGATTCTGCCTGGGGTGGAGGCACGGTGGGCAGTCATACCTGTGGCCATGAAGCGGTGTGTGGCCAGCAGAAGCTGTGGGGAGACCTTCACTCGCATCTCCGAGTCAGAAAGCTTAAACAAGGAGAAGTCATGCCGCTTCCTCTCCCGGTGCGGGACCCTCTGCTTTTTCCGATTGTCGGCTGCGGGGAGCACAAGGGACAGAATGCAGCAACTCAGAATCACTGTTGGTTTTTGGAGGTTTCCCGGAGTTATGGGGGACAGACAGATCCTCTGAGACCCCCTGAATTTCTACAATGTCAACTGTAGATGACATTACCTCTCCGAGGGAGTGAAAGGATGTTGATCAGGGGACAGAAGGTGAGAGGTGCTGTAACTGTCTCAGTGTTATCTACACTTAGGTGGTGCAACGTGGAAAAGGGGAAAGGGTGGCCTGGGACTCCCAAGGTCAGGGTTCTTGAGCTGGTCTCCTATTTATGAGCTGTGCAACCTCTGTAAGCATCAGAATGTTTTAATCTATACAACGAGGTTAATAATTAATAACTCTTCTACTCATCTAGTTAGTTATTATGAGACTTGAACCAAAAGCTATCTGTGAAGTACTTACAAAAAGGCATTCAAACATCAGGGACTTGCATTCTCAGCATCTAGGGATTTGGGAGTCCCAGAGGGTTTGGGCCTCTGCCCCTCTTCTGTCCCCAGAGCTGGGTTCAACTGGTCTCTTCCTGATGATTTTAACCACGCTCTGAGCAGAACTAGAGGCATGCCACCCGAAGGGGGCAAGGGCCACCTCCTCTTCCCACTCACAATTCTCCTGCTTCAACCTTGACCCCTCTGCGGGGAGAGAATTGGGGAGGAGAAGGGATTGCTGTCCCATGAGCTGAAATTCAGAGGAAACACTTCCTGGTTTAGGGATTCCCATGGATTTAGATAACACTCCCATTCTAGAGACAACTTTGTAACATTTGCAAGGAAAGCTTTGATAAGACTCGGTAACCAAAAGCAGTCCCTATCTGCATGGAGGAGTCCATATCGTTCCTGTGGGAGAGTGGGTAGGAAGGTGAGGAGACCAGAAAGGAGGGAGCAGGGCCAGAAGCAGGGAGAGGAGCCAGGGGTGGGGAAGGGAGAAGAAATCAGCTGGTAGGGCTGAAAAAGCATAAGGGAGGAGAGCCATGTGGAAGAAGGGACATTGAAGGGTTGGCTTGGGTTGCAGTATGAAATCTCAGGTCAGTCTCCACTGCGCACGAAGTTTTGGTGTAAGTAGATTGTTGAGTGGAATCCCAGGGTGTGTTGGGGTCTGTATCTGGGTGGTTAAAGAGACAAAACAGGAACAACACAGGACAGAATCAAGGGCAGAGTGGCCACCTCAGGTATACTTTGTTTCTTTTAGTTCCTTTTTCATCCAAAGGCCAGGAGGTCTCCTTTTCATAGTCCTCGTTCCTGAAGGTTCTTTCCTGATAAACATTTAGCTAGCACAGCAATTTTCAACCAGTGTGCTGCAAGAATTTTTAAAACATGCAATGCCTGACTACTTAGTCAGGGACGCTGACCTCTTTTCCCTTAGATTATACTGTAAAATTAAAAAATGACAATAGCCAATACAACAATAGTTGTCTGGTGTGAATGAATCAAAATTATAGCTATTTTTTTTATCAACTCGGCCCAAAATATAATTAGTTTATGTGTGCCACGAGATAAAAAAGGGTGAAAATCTTTGAGCTAGCATGTTCTCAGGGATTCAGGTAATTCAAGCCAGGGTACACTGCCATGCCTGCACCTGGCATTAGGGGGCTGAGACACAGAATGCATGGGCTTGATATACACTC